CGCTCATACAATAAGCATTCATTTCAAATATATGTACTGCTAACATGCTTTTGACTGACCCAGTCCTGCGGATGTTGTTGTCTTTCACGCCCAAATGATGCAAAACTTCACGTCTAGAGAGCCCTTGTTTCGAGGGTTCGGTGACATCGAGGCTGGGTTACTCGAGCTGGTACACTTCACGAATGGGGAGGAACCGCTTGAGGGCCCGGTCAAGAACGGAAAGCTGATGGGTTATCAATATCACGTATAGGGTTTATATTTATGCAGTAGCAATATATTTGTAACCATAATATGCTCCTTGCTTCCCAGCTCCTTAGCAGTGGACCTGACACCGCAACACGCAACACGTACGCCAATTCAGCAGCATGCAGGAGAGACGATTGACAGATCAAACTGTGATTTGATGCAATGTTGCAAAAGAACCTGGTGTACTACTACAACCTTGCACGCTATGGTTCAACGTTCGAAGTCAGTCGATCGCGACTTCAATCCATCTATCACGATTTGCAACCAGCCTCATTGTCAACAACGTTTCAGCTGAATCGCACACCTTCTATCTTGAGCGACTCGGAGCTTTCCAATCGTGTTTCTTTGGATGATCTCTTTGGATGATCAGTCTGATCCAGCTCAAGTTGGCCTACAATAACTTGGTCCCCATTACATTTTTCACCATCGTCCGCGTCCCGATTTTTTGAACTCACATTCACTAGGAACTACGTCTTGCACGTATTTGTGTATCTAGGGATGTCGAGGGGTATGGCACGGGCTTATTATCGCGAGGTACAAGAGGAGATTTAGTAGACGACGAATGGGAATTCGCAGAAGGTACGATTGTTTTTGATCTTGCATTTTGCGTGTGAAGTGACATAGTTATGGATATGGACCCACTCCATATCACCAAGATGCTAATTCTGTCCTCATTCCTGCTATTCCACTATCAGTGGAAAGGAGTGCTTCAAGCGACTCGATCTCATCAACAGTCAGTCTCCAGTTAACTCCTATTCTGGTGTCTTTCTCGCATAACTAACACTCACATCAGCAATCATCTGTCTACTCCGGTCTAGAAGACCTGAGTGATATGATGTGCAATATGCCGGAAGAGGGCGAGTTAACTTATTGTCGATGTGATCCGAGAGCCTAACAACTAGTCACAGTCTTGAATGGTACTGCGAACAACATTACCTCGAGAGTTGACATTCCAATAGTCTCCCGTTCGTCGATCGCCGCTGTTGGCTCCAGCCCTGCTCAACCCCTTTCAGCTATGTCTGCTGGCTCGTCGGATCCAGCGGATTCGGCCTCACCTTCCAGCAGTTGGTCATCTATCCTAGGTAAACGGAAAACAGAGGAACCTCCTGACAATTCCTTGTCTTCACGTAAGAGTGCGAGAATCGCGATGCAAAGATTAAAATCCATTCAATCGTGGGTGCTTCTCGCGCGGTTTTGAGACTCTTCTTGATAAAGTTCACAGGCTCACGATCGAAATCTACAAGCTTATTTTGACAGTAAAAACATATCCTTTGGGGTACAGTGGCTGATTGCCAAACTGGTCACTTACGATCTTCTTGCATACGAGGACATCATTATTCCCGACTTGGATAAGCTCCGTGGCACAAACCAAGAAGCTACCCCACGCGTGGCTCAGGTGTTTGCAGCATGCCAGAACTCCATGGGCGAAGAAGAAAGATTCTTCGTGAAGGAAAAGGCAGTTCTGGTACAGTGTTCCTTTGGTTTGCGATGGTCGATAATTGATATCGTAACAAGTCGCCTTGGAAAGAGCTTGACCGAGAGCACGAACTCGCTCTTGCAATGGGTAATAGTTTTGACGGGTTCCAGCGACAGGCCGATGGCTGGTATGGAGGGAAAGTGCATTTTGGTGCAACTTTGAAGGCTATCGATAAGAAGACCACAACACCTGAATACCGCATTCAACTCAGTCCGCCAGAGCTTGGGTCCTCATCGAGATTGACCCGACAGTATGGTTCGAAGAATTTCCTACGCGTGAAGGTGCCGAGGAACATTCTAAACAAGCCTCAGCATGGCCTTGTGGAGTTTTTTTCGCAACACTTTCTCCTCTGTGGTCTGGTTTATCGGGCATTTTATGCAAGAGATGGAAGTGTTTTTCTCGTGGCAACTGATTCTTCGACGGGATGCGGTCGAATTCCTTCTCATGCTCACCCTCCACCGCCGTCTCTGGAAGATTATCTCGACTGGCATAACCCCATATGTTATAATATAGCTCAGGTTGGCAACGGTTCTGAGAGTTCGGGAACACTACTAATGCGTTTCAGACTGTGGCAAAATGGTCCTCGCGGTTTGCATTGGGACTTTCGAACTCTGTGCCGGGTATTACCATCAGCCGGGAAAATATCATGTATTTGAAAGAAGAAGGTAAGCTATTGGTATTCTTATTAATTATAGTGAAAACTAACTTCTGCGCCGAAGACCCGGGGGGTCCGGACATGACAGATGGCTGCGGATATATCAACAAAATCGCCTTGAAGGGGTTACGCGAGCTCTTGCAATGGGACACAACACCGACGGCAATACAATGTAGAATCGCTGGCGCCAAGGTAACAGACACTCGCTCGAGTGTCGGGAAAACCAAATGCTTATCTTCCTATAGGGACTCCTACTCCTGCATCCTGATTCATCGGAAAATTGTTCCGACGTCCCTCGGGTTTGGTTGCGCGAATCACAAATCAAAGTCAAGTATCCTCAAACTCAAAAACTATCACCTAGTCACTTAACAATTGATGTGCTACGGTCGTCTCATATGCGCTCTCCCTCCCGCCTTGCCGCAGAGACCATAGTGAACTTTGCTGAAAATGGTGTTCCCCACTCAGTATTTATTGATCTGATGAAGGAAGGTTTGGATGCTATAGTCAACAGTTTGCTCGACTGGGATGGCCCAGATGCCATGTATCGTCTATGGCATAGTGTTGCCAGAGCTGGCGCCGTGGTAGGATCCAGGTTAGCTCGTGAAGCTGGTGGAGAGGCTCGATCAAGAGGTTTCGCCGTCAAAGACGACGACATTGAAGATGATGACGAAGACGATTTGAATGCGGTCATTGAAATTCCTCGCTCAGTCGCTTGGTGGGGTGACGAGATCTCAGGTTGCCCTTCTTCTCTTGAAGAAACGGTAATGGTCATGCTTGACTCTGGTTTCATTCCTCGCGATTGCCCAGTCCTTGCTGACAAGCTTCGCCATGTTCTTAAGACGATGGTCGACAACTTTGTGCAACGATATAGAATCGAGGTGCCCATGTCTTGTATGGGATGGATTGTGCCAGGTGCGAGGTTATCGATGATCAAGGCTACGTTTATCTGACCATTGTGCACCTTAGACCCTTCTGGAACACTGGCTCCTGACGAAGTGCAAATTCTCTCGAAGGATTCGAAATTCCTCTGTCCTGATGGAACAGAGTCAAATGTTGTATTGGGTGATGTCCTGGTCAGTGTCATTCAACGTCGCTCCTCAACTCATTCCAGACGCTGAACCGATAATAGCTCACACGGCATCCTTGTAAACTGCCGACAGATACTCAGAAGGCATGTTGATCTGTCGTCTACTATTTATTTCGTATCTTAATGATTTGGAGGCAGGTCAGAGCTGTCGAAAAACCAGAACTCAGGCGCTACACAGACGTGATAGTGTGCTCTGTACAGGGAACTCGCCGGTTTGCAGATCTTCTTGCTGGAGGTATGTCAAATCATAAGATTGTATCTATGTCAAGATACTGAGCGACAATTAGGCGATTACGATGGGGACAAAGCAATTGCTGTTTGGCAGCCGTCCATAGTGTCGCACTTCAACAATGCCGACCTCAAATATTCTCATCCGCCTGACAATCTGTCCGAGAATTTCCACAAGAACACCCTACGAGTCGATGATTTCTTGGAACAACACCAAGGAAGCTCACTGGATGATCTCATACCCCGCCTGCAGTCATTTTTGTTAGGAGGATTGCGCGATGTATCGTCAGTCGGAAAGTACTCGAACTTACACGACGTGGCAGTGTACACTCTTGGATATGCGCATAACGAAACCATTCGCTTAGCTTACATGTAAGTCGCAGTTGTTGTAGTCGTGTGACGCACATTCATATAACCACAGGTTTTGCAATATTCTCGATGGTGCGAAGAGTGGATTAACCGTTTTACCGGAGGTCATAAAGAGCGATACAAAGCTCTACCACAAGCGCTCTCCAGAGTGGAAAGAATGTGGGGAGGAGAAACCGGAAACCAACGAAATCAACGTTCAGCGTCCCAAAGGCATGACAGAATTTGTTATGGATGCGATTATGAGCCATGCCCGGAAATACCGGGACCTGAAACTGCAACAGGTCGATAGCGCTTTTTCCAAACACCACGGTCATAGAGACTCCTCTCTCGAGAAGCCATGGCAGGATGCCGAGTCAAGGGTACGGCGTGTGAAGTACAGCAATGAGTATGCTGCTTTGACAATGGAAATGGAACTCTCCAAGATACGCGAACATGTCGAAAAGATGCGTGAAGAACACAAGAAGAGTATCCGTCGTAGTTTCTCTGGCCTTAAAATTGAACGGCGGCAGGATATTCTTCGCTCCCTCGCTCGTGATTTCACTGCTGCCCCAGACCTTTCATGCTTTCTTTTCTTCTCATCGGAGGAGGTGGCAAGGCTCAAGGCTTCCTACGCATATATTCATGAATGCCCAAACACCGCTGGTCAATTCCCCTGGGATGTTGCTATGCGAGAGCTTGGGATGATCAAGGCGAGGAGCCTTGGTCCATCAAAAAACAGTCGCACTCGGTTTCTATGAGAGGTTTGTGTTGACGCGAGCAGCCTTTCATTGATGGTTTCAGTATGTGTTGATCTGACATATGTAGTCTTTAGTAGTATGTACGGTGTACACTGTATGAGTAGCGCTTGGGGTGATCGCGGGGTTATTAATACAAGTCAATCGTTCAAGTGAGTTAGCACTCCTGTAGGGACCAGCAATTCGATTCCGAAGTATCTTCACAGCGATATTCGTCTAAGAATTTGGCGTAGATTGAGCCTGCTGAAGCTTTGTTTGGATTTCGACGAGCTGCGACACAACCGATCGTCGGGTCAAACTTGTCATTGGGAAGAACGGGCGAGTCACAATACCTCATTCTTCTTTTTCTCTGACCTGTCCTCGCCATCATTTATTTGTACATCTACACGTTTTCTATGATGCTGATGAGTTCTGCATTCAACTCGAACATGAAACCAGTGACATTTCGCTCTTGATAAATTCCAGGCGCGTCTCCACATTGGTTTTGGCCTCATTCTGATCTTGAGGCACCAATACAGGTCCCACAAGTTTATAGACAGTATTACTTGAAGTTAACTGCGCAAACTCCTGGAAGATGGAGTTGGTAAAAATGAGTTTGCGAAGATGTTCAGCGAACCTTTTTGACCATCTCATTCTCGGAAAGTTGGGCATCGAGACGAGTGCGATTCTCCACCAAGCTTGCCAGTTCTGTCTGTATTTTCTGGTACTCCATCGATGCTGATTGGAAACGGAATTCTAGAGACATGACGAAAAAATAGACAATCACCTTCGCTTGCCCGATGCCCGATCATATCCACAGCAACTCCTCTGATTGTTATGTAATACCCTCGTTCCGTACTAATCTGGCTGCGCCGGTGTTCCGAGTCAGCGGTCACATTCATGGAGCTCATGTGAGCACGAAGCACGATTCGATAGTGTGTGAGCGCCAGGCGGACCGTTTTTAACTAACAAGAATCTTGAGTGATCTCTCGTAGCTCCTCACCGCCGTCTTTCTCATTCCCTCCGCATTCGTCGCAATGAAAGTCAATTGGAGCAAGGTAGACCAACCTGAGGTCGTGTTCCAGCAATTTCTAAGTCGACGATCCCAAGTCTATGGTACCAAGGGTGTCGTCGCATGTTCTCAACCGCTCGCAGCGGAGGCTGGACTCGAAATCCTAAGGAAAGGCGGTAATGCAGGTGGGTGCTGGTATTCTCGATCTCAGCTTCCACCGACACTACGTGCTTCCGTTCGCAGCTGATGCTGCTGTTGCAACCTCTGCTGCTCTTAATGTGACAGAGCCAAGTTGCTGTGGCATAGGAGGGTGGGTCTGTTCAAGAGCAAATGCACATCCAATCTAAGAGTGAAATAGGGATGCCTTTTGTCTCTTCTATGATGCCAAAACGAAAACCATAAAGGCGATGAATGGCTCTGGCCACTCTCCTCAGAAGTTGTCGGTCGATTACATGCGTCGACGAGGGTTAAAGGCGCCCAGATTCCCCTCACAGACCTTAACTGTGTCACCGTCCCAGGTTTGTTTTTTGATGCCTCTGATCACGCTATGAATGAACGAACGAGCAGTGCTGCTGCTGCGTGGGTTGATTACTGTGGAAACGTTCGGAAGTGGAAAACTCACCGTCGCTGAAGTTCTGGCGCTGCAATTAGGCTCGCCGAGGAAGGGTCCGTAATGTTTTATCCTCCACTACTCGTTGCCAAGTTTATTGACTACTCTTGGTTGTAGAGTTCCAGTATCCGAAATTCACAGTTATAATGCCAGTTTACCTTTTGTTCATGTTGGTCAAGTTGCTGATTTGTCTACAGTGGCAGCGCTCGGAAAAGTTGATACAAAATGCGTCGCCGAACGGACATGAGATGCTTTTGAATGGAAAGGCACCTCTCCCAGGTCAAATCATGAAGTTCCCAACCTTGCCAAGACTTCCGCGCTGTCGCGGAGCAAGGAAAGGATGGTTTCTATAAAGGTCGTGTCGCAGAAGCTATAGTGGAACTCATTCAAAGCAAAGGGGGTGTTATGGAACTTGACGATCTTGCAAAGCACAAGACGACATTCGTAGAACCGATCAAATACACTTATGCTGGAGATGTTACTGTTTATGAGGTGAGCCGTCGACCGTGTGGTTAACGGGTGGATGCTGACTTCATCGTAATATAGTGTCCTCCCAATGGTCAAGGTGAAGATAGTCAAGTCCCCACCGAGCGTAACTAATGCTCATTGCCAGGCATCACTGCATTGGTTGCTCTTGGCATTCTCGAGCACATGCAGATACAAGGAAAGATTCCGTCCCTCCTGGAATTAGAACACAACTCTGCCGAGTATCTCCATGCACTCATTGAGGCTCTGCGGTGCGTATTAGTGGTCGAATTTTCTAGATTCATGGTCGTTTACGTCTCTTTTGTTTAGTCTCGCATTTGCGGGTGAGATCAATACATGCCTTGCTTGTGTTCGCAACTGACGGCCACCAGACACACAATACTACGTGACTGATCCTGAGTTCAACAAAATCCCGGTCGATGAACTACTAAGCAAGGTCAGCCTTCGAGCCTAAATTACTCCGTCGCATCTAATCTAGCCGTAGGAATATCTATCCAAACGCGCAGCTCTATTCAATGCTCAATCTAGGAACCCCGACATCGTCCACGTGAGCCTTGTTCGATGGTTATCCGCATTTAATTTACTCACGGTCGGGTAGGGAAACCCAGTGAACTCATCTGATACGGTTTACTTCACTGGTACGATAGACAATGGAGCCTGTGCAGCGTCCATTTACTAAGCGTTCTCGTGTTTCAGCTTCGGATCAGTGGGGAAATGCATGTAGTTTTATTCAGAGCAATTATGCAGGTATGGCATCTAGTTTATCCGCGAATGCACGCCTTAATACTTTGCAACCAAAGGATTTGGGACAGGAGGTGACATCAATTCGCACCACAGTTGAGATGATATTGAATTTTTTTTATGAAGCTGTACCCAAGGGATGCGGATTTACTCTTCAGAACAGGGGCTGATTCGTTTTGCAGGAGGGCCACCCTAACTGCTTACAGGTATATCATACAGCAAGCTTAACAGTGCAGCCTATTGAATTGTGCCATTTTTGTAGGGTGAAAAGCGGCCATACCACACCATCATCCCTGCAATGGCGTTACGAGGGGACGATCTATTCCTCTCCTACGGCGTAATGGGTGGTTTCATGCAGGTATGTACTCGCACCCCACCAACGTCCGTAGATATAGTGATTAAATGAACATCATATAGCCCCAAGGTCACGTCCAGGTCCTGCTTAACATGCTGCGTGGATTCACTGCCCAAGCTGCCCTTGATGCCCCTCGGTTCTGCATCTCAGCTGGAATGCCTGACCCAGATGACAAGGATCCTGCTGCCTTCGGTGTGGTCAACGGTGGGATTAACTTTGAAGACGCTATTCCCATGTCAACTATTCAGAAGCTTCGCGGTATGACTTTCTGTTTTTTAGGCATCCGTTTTCTGAATAGTCGCTTTAGCTATGGTCATGATGCCAATGTCGTCAGCGGCTGGGGGGGGAGATAATGGGCCGTGGACAGATCATTCAGAAGATTGTGATGCGTCTGGGCAGACTGTTTGGGCTGCCGGGAGCGACC